CCCAGCCTAATCTTGTCCACCTTCTACTCCAAACTCCAGGACCTACATATTGCTCTTTATGGTTCCCTTTCTATTCCTTTTAGGAAGGACCATGAAAAAGCCGAATTTGAGGTACATGAAGTATATGCTGTGGATGTTCTCATCAGCTCAGGAGAGGGCAAGGTGAGGACAGTTTACCAGAGCTAGCAAAGAGGGGTAACTGAGGGTGTGTTCCAGGAGCACCAGAACAAACGTGACCTAACTTACTCCTTTAGGCCAAGGATGCAGGACAGAGAACCACCATTTACAAACGAGATCCTTCTAAGCAATATGGCCTGAAAATAAAAACTTCACGTGCCTTCTTCAGTGAGGTCGAAAGGCGTTTTGATGCTATGCCGTTTACTTTAAGGTACTACTGCAGTCAGCAAGGACTGGACTTGGAACCAGTCTGACTCTGACTCAGACCACACACCCAGGAACACTCTTCCCGCCACCGCCACCGCCCCTCCCACGGCCCCCGCCCACCCCCCCCACGCTACCCTCCCTCTCTCCTCCTGCCTAGACTTGTAGCTCCGCCTGCATGCACGGGTTCTCTCCCTCTCCCATCTGCCTCTCATTGAAGGCAATGTAAAAGGGGAATCCTAAGCATGATTTCTGCCTGAGGGTAGGAGCTATCTAAAAACATGAGCAAAATAGTCAGACGTGTTAGGGAGTTAAGGGTACCTGGATTTCTCTTCCCCTACCCAGAGCATTTGAAGATGAGAAGAAGGCCCGGATGGGTGTGGTGGAGTGCGCCAAACACGAATTGCTACAACCTTTTAATGTTCTCTATGAGAAGGAGGGTGAGTTCTAAAAAGAGAGCTTCACTTTGGAGCCCCTGATTATATGGTCCCCTCCTTCTCCCTATAGCTTTCAGACAAGAGTATGACAAGGGAACATTTTATCAAAACACTTCCTCTCTCCCATAGGTGAATTTGTTGCCCAGTTTAAATTTACAGTTCTGCTCATGCCCAATGGCCCCATGCGGATAACTAGTGGTCCCTTTGAGCCTGACCTTTACAAGTCTGAGATGGAGGTCCAGGATGCAGAGCTAAAGGTTAGTGTCGGATGGCAGGTGGTGAGCACGTGGCACCTATCCTGGGAGTGAGGACTAAATGTCAGCCAAGTCCTGAAAAGAGCGACAGTATTTAGAGTGAGACTTGATGTTTCCTCCACATTCCTCTAAATTTGTTTTCCTTCTTCCTCCTGTTTTCCAGGCCCTCCTACAGAGTTCTGCAAGTCGGAAAACCCAGAAAAAGAAAAAAAAGAAGGTGTGTTATGATCATCCCTCTCTGGCAGGATGAACCTGATCCCTCTTTATTCTACCTCCCCACGTTGTGGTAGGGGTATAGATTCCTGTATATCCTTATTTACCCCCTTCTCAGCCCTGACCTAGAGAATGAAGATATTTTTGTCCTTGGTCTCCCAGACACTACCCCAAGTAGTTGGAAACTGACAAGTCTTCTCTCTCTCCTTTCAATGAATATAGGCCTCCAAGACTGCAGAGAATGCCACCAGTGGGGAAACATTAGAAGAGAATGAAGCTGGGGACTGAGGTGGGTCCCGTCTCCCCAGCTTGCTGCTCCTGCCTCATCCCCTTCCCACCACACCCCAGGCTCTGTGAAGTGCAGTTCGTCTTCTCCACCCAGGACCGCCAGCAGAGCAGGATCTCCCTGCCCCCATCCTAGGCCCCCAACCCAACCCCCTTCCAACAACAACCAGCTCCAACTGACTCTGGTCTTGGGAGGCCAGGCTTCCCAGCCACCGAAGACTACTTTAAATAGAAAAGAGAAATTGAATAATAAAATCAGGAGTCAAAATCCATCGTCGTCAAGCCCCTCTTTCTAGCATTTTTCTACTACTTTCTGCTTGGTCAAGGTTTATGGCCCTACAACAGAAAAGGGAGGAGGCTAAAGTAGCCACCTCCACTAAAAACTCAGCTGAAATCTTTTTATACCACTCCGATGTCAGCATTTTCTCATCTGTTGGGGCTTGTTCTTCTCTTTTCTCACTCTCCCCAAGTATTTTATCTGGCCTCAAAATAGAGAGGAGCTATTCTTCAGATTGTTTTTATTCACATGTAGCAGATTCCTTTTCTGATCGGCCTGTCTCATCAGGCTCCTCCCATTTTTAGGAGCTGGAGCCTGCAGTTACCAAGGGATTCTCATCTATCAAATGGATCCTCATTTGTAAATCTTTTTAGTCATTTTTGTTCTGTAGGACTTGTTTTTTCCCACAAAGCTATAAAGAAGTAATCCATCTCAACCTTGTCCATTTCTTTGGAGTTAGTGGGTTCTTCCCTTGCTCCGTCTTACAAACCTGAGCTGGAAGTGCAACTCTGGTTTTGTTGCCTTTTTGAAATATTTTGACCTCCCTCCCTTGAAAGACCAGGAACCAGAGGAGCAGACTGACTGAAGAGACAACTCCTGGCTTTCTGAAGCTATGGACTTGGATTGGATGAATTGCTAGGGGTTTGGAGAGAGAGTGACGAATTTCAGTACCTCTGGCATGCTGTCCCAGGGAACTAGGGCTCCTGCTAACTTATAAGGTTTTTAAACACATTGAAAATGACATGGTGTTAAAATAAATTTGGATTTGCTCATAATCATGTGCCTTTGTATGTTGTTCTTATTTGATGGAGGTAGGGAAGTGTCAGTTGAAGTGATGACCATTGGAAGTTTTTCAGTATTGCCATATTCTGCCTTTCAAAAACACTTTGGGGGCCGGCCCTGTGGCTTGGTGGTTAAGTGCGCGCGCTGCGATGCTGGTGGCCCGGGTTCGGGTCCCGGGTGCGCATCGAGGCACCACTTCTCCGTTCATCCTGGGGCCGAGTCCCGCATGCAGCAACTGGAAGGATGTGCAGCTACAACATACAACTATCCACTGGGGCTTTGGGGGGAAAAAATAAAATAAATAAAATCTTTAAAAAAAAAACACTTTGGGGGGGCCGGCCCCGTGGCTTAGCAGTTGAGTGCGCGCGCTCCGCTGCTGGCGGCCCGGGGGTCGGATCCCAGGCGCACCACCAACGCATCTTTAAAAAAATAAAACACTTTGGGTTGGGGAAGACATAAATCCTGGATTCTCTGAATTAACATAGAGTAAATTTTCTATGGGAATTTGTGGTTTAGTTTTCTAAAGTAAAAACACCCCTTGCTGCTGACACTTTTGTTCAGGACTAGCATACTTAATGTGTACTGCAGGGCCGGCCCCGTGGCGTAGCAGTTAAGTGCACGTGCTCCCGCTGTTGGCGGCCTGGGTTCGGATCCTGGGTGCTCACCGACATACCCCCTCTCAGGCCATGCTGTGGCAGCGTCCCACATAAAGTGGAGGAAGATGGTCACGGATGTTACCTCAGGGCCAGTCTTCCTCAGCAAAAAGAAGAGGATTGGCATGGATGCTAGCTCAGGGCTGATCTTCCTCACAAAAAAAAAAAAAGTGTACTGCAAAAATAAAAGGCTGTATCCAAGTGTTTATCTTGATTGAGGAAGCCAAGGAAGAATGCCCTTAGTGTTACGCAATTTTTCAGGGCCAGCTGGAGATTGGCTGGATGATTTGTTTATTAGAGCTGAGTATAGTGTATGTGAGGCATTGCTGATGTGGAGATACTATATTGAACAAAACACAGGTCCCTTGATAAGAGCTTATAGACTAGTGGGCAATCAACAGGTGAAATCCTGGTGGACTTAATATAAAATAACTGCTAGGGTTTTTGTTTTCAAAGCTTGTTATATTCTGATGGTGACAATACTAGAACTACTTAGGGCCGCCCCGGGGCTTGGTGGTTAAGTGCGCACACTCCGCTGCTGGCGGCCCGGGGTTCAGATCCCGGGCGCACACCGACATGCCACTTCTCTGGCCATGCTGAGGCCGCGTCCCACATGCAGCAACTAGAAGGATGTGCAGCTATGACCTACACTATCTACTGGGGCTTTGGGGGGAAAAATAAATAAAAATTATATAAAAAAAAATACTAGAACTACTTAAGCACTTGAAACTAGGGCCCTAAATTTTAAAAACCTTGTTTTAAGAGTTAAAAAGGTGAAATAGTGTATAAGTTATAAAGGGAAGCCACCAAAAAAGGAGGGATTATAACCAAAAACCTTACAGTATCCTGAATAAGGTGAAGTTTGGTTAAGAGTTTTTTCTCATCCTTCACAACAAGTTTTCCTGTAGCCAAATTTCTGGGTATCTGCTTTCCGGGTGCTTCTGACCTGACCATACCATGAGACTGGGAAGTTCTTTAACACAACACCAAATATCATTCTTGCTCTACAGAAGACAGCCCATCTTGCTCCCCCTCTGTCCATTGGTTTGCTCTTCACCCCTAGGTAGAGGGAGAATCACTGAAGTATTTTCTGAACAAGATGCATTGTAGCCTGGAATCTAGTGACATTCTGCTGCAGGCATCGTGGGGAAAGACCATAGTTGGCTAAGAAAAAAAGAGTTTATCTATCTTAAATAGGGACAAAGGTTTCTTTCTGTAGTATGACAGCTTTCTCGACTTCCCACTTACATTCTCCCATGTTCTGGAATCTTAGGACCTTCGGAAGTTCCAAGATCGAATCTCCCTGCAGCAATTTAGTTTAGAAAACAAAGCAAACCAGTAAAACAAATTAGAAATTTTTGTACAGTCCGCCCCTATCTAGAGTAAAATGGACGGTGTCGCCACGAAACTGCAACTCCCATGAAGCAATGAGAGGGAAAACGGAAGTCGCTATCCTTTGCTCCTCTGCACCTCGAGGTCCCATATTAGGCATATGTGCTCACGTTTAAATAATACAGTGTCCTGATAATAAAACTGGGGAGAGGAGAGTTTTGTAACTCAAATTCAAAATACTGTTTTCAAAGAGAACTCCTAACTCAAAACACTTATCAACCACCTGACAGGCGCGCAAACCCATTGTTATTCCCTTCGGGTAGCCCCGCCCCTGGGGGAGGGCAATACAGCGGAAGTGACGACACCGAGCGCTCCCTTAAATAGCCGTAGGCGGGGCCCTGGCGCTCTCTCGGCCTTAGCGCCATTTTTCTGGGTGAGTGTAAGTGTTGCTTGTCTTCGGGTGCCGCGTACAATCCATTAACATCTGGTCTGTGCGTTTATCATCGTTACAGCAAACTAACTGTAGTCTTTTCTTCTTTGCCCATAGAAACCTCCGCGCCATGAGAGCCAAGGTAAGCAGTCGCTGGCAGTGAGCTGAGACTGTAGGAGTTGGCAGTTACCGGGGAGACCCGGGAAAGGGAAGTCCGCCATGGTTCCCAAACTGCAGGGTTCTCAGGGGTGCCCAAGACCCAGTGGGAGAGGAAGGATAGTTTGGGGAGAAGCAGAGGAGGTGATGGGTAAGTGCTGTGGGGAGAGAGGGCAGAAGTAGCGCACGCGGGTTCGGGGTTTATGTTGGGTTGGGCGTCCGAATTTTTGATGAGATGACTGCGACTAAATCCTCATACTTGGTCAACAACCGGCCCGGTTCTAAATAATGCTCTTCATATCCCTACCTAAATCTGTTAATAAAATTAATTATCTCTTGTTTTATTTTCTGCCTTTGGTTGTGATTGGTTGCCAGTGGAGGAAGAAGCGAATGCGCAGGTATGTTGAGATTTGGCCGGCACGGGAGGAGGGAAGTGGGGCACGACTTGGACAAAACTTGGGAGGAACATTTGGTTTAGAAATCTAAAAGAACTTTGGGTGAAAAACGTTAACGAGCATTGGCTTGCGAGAGCCAGGGTCAATGGCACTGTTGTGCTTGTTCATTTTGGCAGCCCGGGTGTTGTATGCACACTTAAGAGGAGAGGGAAAGACTGAACTCGGGTTTGTGGGCAGGAGGTGTATTCCCGTGTCTGCTTTTCAGGCTGAAGCGCAAAAGAAGAAAGATGAGACAGAGGTCCAAGTAAACCGCTAGCTTGTGCACCCATGGACGCCACAAGAGCAGAAATAAGGAAAGCCAGAGGCCGGGGACGCTGGTACAATTTGTTGGACTGCATGCCTACTGTCTAGAACTTGTCTCAGTGGATCTAGAACATCTATCGCCACCTGATCGCCGCGACCACCTTTAAGAGACCCACCTTGCTCATACCAAAACAGTTCCTTTTGGTCCTTTGCCCTGGGCCTGTGACGTTCTGGACTAGTTCTGTTCTCACTTGTGGCTGAATGTAACACGTGTACAATAAATCATCTCTTTTGCTGTCCTAGCTGAAGAAAAAGTCTTGTCTATTCTGTGGCTTTTATGGTTCCGTTGGCTGGGGATTCTGTATCGACACAGTCGGCCCTGTGCTGTAGAGAACAGCAAGCAAACTACATGGGCTAAAGCCGGGGGTGTGGGCCCCGCCCCTCGGGGCTGGTGGAGTATTGGGTGGGAAAGGGTGTAGTACACCCCAGGGGACGGGTTTCAAGGTGGTCGCGGGCAAGTTAGGGGCAAACGGTGGTTTGCGCCGCCTGGTCCATCGTCTAGGCTTACATTACTAAGTCAAGTTTTTGGGTCCTACTGTGCTGTTGGGTCGGGTTGCCATGGTGACACGCAAAGCTTGCTGGGAGCTTCCTACAGCTAGGCGTGCAAGTACTTCATACACCATAGAGTATAGTTCCGGGTCTGGTGGCTAGAGCGACACTTCCGCAGGAAGCGGAAGGGCGATTGGGTAGGCGGCTCTTTGTCGAAGCTACAGGACCGGCAGGCGGCAGCAGCAACTACGGCGGCGGCGGCAGGTGAGGGAGGCGGGAGACTTAGGTGGAGGCCGCGCCCGGAGGGGAGGAGTCGGGGCCGGGCCAGCGGCTGGACTCGGCCGGGCTACACAAGGCCCCCCAGGGCCGAGCTAGTTCTTCGTCACGCCCCATGGCCGATCCCCTTTTTGAGTGACCCCGCTTCGCGAGCAAACGCCAGCTCCGTGACGTCACAGCCCTGCCCATCCCCTCAGCTTGATGTCACCTGGAGTCCCTTTCCCCGCTTCACTTCGTGCTCCCTCAGCGTCCTATTCGCCTGCCCCACGGCTGAGCTCCGGCGGCACTGCACAGAACCGGCCAAGCTAGAAGACTTGCTGCGGGAAACTCCTAGGACTTTTTTCGTAAACTCGGGGGTGTTGCGAAGCGTCATAATCGCCGCCCCCAAGTGTACTCTGCCATCCCACTGCACTGTCAGGCGCTCTCCTTGCACGGCTCCCCATTCGGAGTTCCTAACCCCAACCCTAGGCCGGGCTCTGATCCCCACATCCTCCTTCATCTTGAGGCAGGGCGCCCCTCACCTTTTGTTCACTCAGGACTGGTTTTCCAACCCGTCTTCCTAGGCTCTCCAAATTAGTTCTATCCCTGACTCTTACTGGCAGCTTCTCCCTTTGACAGGTGAAGTTCAGTTTGAACCCTAAGGAAATCCTGAAGTGCCCAGAGCTCTTGCCGTTTTGTCAGACTTCTGTCTTGTAACAACCACTCCATAGTCCTTCATTCTTACTCCTTCTCCCACCCAAGTCTCTGTTTTTTTCCTGTTCAGAACCCAGCAGTGATGTGGAGGTGGAGACCCACAGGAGCCCCGGACTTCACCTGAGCTACCTCAGGTATCGAACAACCCTGGGAGAGTTGGGTGGGGAGGAGTACAGTACCATATCTAATTATCTGAGTCTGGTGGGACTTGCGACATGGGTCAGGCTTGAGTAGATGGCATTTATTTTTCACCAGTTCATTTCCCTTTTAGAAGTTTGTATTTTCTCTCTTACCACTCTTTTCCTTATTTTTCTTATTCTGGGACTAGCTCCCTTCGGAGGAAGAGAACCCTTCTTTTACAGATTATCTTGTAACTGTGGCCTCTGGTCTGCTTGGTTCACTGTAGGGAGATCTAAAGGCAAAGTCAAGGCAGTGGAGTGGCGGGGGGGAGATCAAGGCCAAAGAAATTGGAAAGATCCCCTTATACTCACGGGGAAACAATATGAAGTTTTCCTGTTTGAACAGCAGGGGGAGCCTAAACTCTGTCTAGGAAAGGCTTAGGAGGTCAGACACGTGGGGACTCCCAGTCTTGTTGGGGGTGGGTGGGGAGAAGGGAGGGCTAGAACCAGGGCAGTGGGCTGACATTCCAGAGCTCTCTTGGGAAAGAGAAGCCTTAAAAAGCTTTTATAGAGTTTATAAATAAAGAAGATCTTTAATGGGGTGAGGAGGAATGGTGTGCTTTGATGTCAGTGGGATCTTCTCGGGGCGGGGGGGTGGTATAGAATGAGGAAAGAAATGTCACTTATTCCTATGAAATTAACTTCTTCTTCCCGGCCTTGACCTTACCACAGATGGTTTTATCCTTTGGGAGTCAATAAGTGGAGATTCCAGCTGTACAACTCTTCCCTTGAAATGGAGGGGAAGGGGCTGACCAAACTGGGGTTGAGAGTGGTGGTGAGCTAGGAGAGAACACTGAAATATGACAAGTTTGGGGACTTCCCTTAAGCTGGTGACACCAGTCTCTTCACTTAGGATTTCCTGGGGTCAAGAGATCTGATACTTCACAGAGCCCTTACCAGGATCCCATGGAAGAGGAGTTAAGGAAGTTTTGTCACCAGTATCCCATTGTCCACAGCCCTAATAACTCACTAGCCCATCTTGGCCACTATTCCCAGTCTCCTCCTAGCCTATTCAGACATCAATAGCAGTCTTTTTTGTTGTTGTTAGGGAGATCAGCCCTGAGCTAACATGTGTGCTAATCCTCCTCTTTTTGCTGAGGAAGACCGGCTTTGAGCTAACATATATTGCCAATCCTCCTCCTTTTTTTCTTCCCCAAAGCCCCAGTAGATAGTTGTATGTCATAGTTGCACATCCTTCTAGTTGCTGTATGTGGGACGCGGCCTCAACATGGCCGGAGAAGCAGTGCGTCCGTGCGTGCCCGGGATCCGAACCCGGGCCACCAGTAGCAGAGCACGCGCACTTAACCACTAAGCCACGGGGCCGTCCCAATAGCAGTCTTAGTTTTGCTTCCACAACTTGAATAAGGTCAGTTCAGAAGGGGGAATAAGGGGCTGGCCCTGTGGCTTGGTGGTTAAGTGCGCGCGCTGCGATGCTGGTGGCCCGGGTTCGGATCCCGGGTGCGCATCGAGGCACCACTTCTCCGTCCATCCTGAGGCCGAGTCCCACATACAGCAACTAGAAGGATGTGCAGCTACGACATACAACTATCCACTGGGGCTTTGGGGGGAAAAAATAAAATAAATAAAATCTTTAAAAAAAAAAAAGAAGGGGGAATAAAATCCAACACTATTCTTTCCCTGCCCCCTCCTTGGCCTGTCAACATTAGTGAGAAGAGGTGGCTTCACCCCAGCTCCCTCCCTCCACTGTTAGCCAGGCAAGTGTGAATCATTCTGACCCAGGCCAGATGCACAAGGGCCTAGGCAGGACTTCTCAGAAGCTGGCCAGTCCAGGAAGAATTCTCATCCCTTAGATTCTCCATTTCCAAAGCCATTGCCCCTCTGCCCTGCCTCTTGCTGGACTGCCTGCTCTATAGTCAGGAAGAGTGTGGCCTCTCTGGAGGATTCCTGTTTGACACAGTTCTCCTCTGTCCTAGTGGTCACCAAGGGTGGCAAGAAAAAGAAGAAAGCCCTGAGTTGGAGGGGACCAGGATGCCTGATCGGGACAGCTATGCCAACGGCACTGGGAGCAGCAGTGGAGGCCCTGGAGGTGGTGGCAGCGAGGAAGCCAGTGGGACAGGGGCAGGCAGTGGTGGGGCCAGCTCAGATGCCATCTGCAGAGACTTCCTGAGGAATGTATGCAAGCGAGGCAAGCGTTGCCGCTATCGCCATCCAGATATGAGTGAGGTATCCAACTTGGGAGTGAGCAAAAATGAGTTCATCTTCTGCCATGACTTCCAGAACAAGGAGTGTAGTCGCCCAAACTGCCGATTCATCCATGGCTCCAAGGAGGATGAGGATGGCTATAAGAAGACAGGAGAGCTTCCCCCTCGGCTGAGGCAGAAAGTGGCAGCTGGCCTGGGCCTTTCACCAGCTGACCTACCAAATGGCAAGGAGGAGGTCCCTATCTGCCGTGACTTTCTCAAGGGTGACTGTCAGAGAGGAGCCAAGTGCAAGTTCCGTCACCTGCAGCGGGATTTTGAGTTTGATGCTCGGGGTGGAGGAGGAACTGGTGGTGGGGGATCAACAGGCCCAGTCCCCCCAGGACGACGTCATGATCTCTATGATATCTACGACCTCCCTGACAGGGGCTTTGAGGACCATGAACCAGGCCCCAAGCGCCGGCGAGGTGGATGCTGCCCCCCAGATGGCCCCCATTTTGAATCATATGAATATAGCCTGGCTCCACCCCGAGGGGTGGAGTGCAGACTACTAGAGGAGGAGAACGCCATGCTCAGGAAGCGGGTAGAGGAGCTCAAGAAGCAGGTTAGCAACCTCCTGGCCACCAATGAGGTACTGCTGGAACAAAATGCTCAGTTCCGCAATCAGGCCAAGGTCATGACCCTGAGCTCCACTGCACCAGCGACTGAGCAGACTCTGGCCCCCACCGTGGGCACTGTCGCCACTTTTAACCATGGCATTGCCCAGACTCACACTACTCTCAGCAGCCAGGCTCTACAGCCTCGACCCGTGTCCCAGCAAGAACTGGTGGCCCCTGCTGGAGCTCCAGCTGCTCCCCCAACTAATGCTGCACCTCCTGCTGCTCCACCACCCCCACCCCCACACTTGAACCCAGAGATCACACCACTGTCAGCTGCTCTGGCTCAAACAATTGCCCAGGGAATGGCACCCCCACCTGTCTCCATGGCTCCTGTGGCTGTATCTGTGGCTCCTGTGGCCCCTGTGGCTGTATCGATGGCCCAACCTTTGGCAGGAATCACAATGAGCCACACCACCACTCCCATGGTGACTTACCCCATCGCTTCCCAGAGCATGCGTATCACAGCCATGCCACACTGATGGGCCTAATGGACACTACCCTGGAATAGCCTCCCAGGGCTGGGGTTGAGGGGCCCTTACTCACCCACTCGCCTAGCCCTCCCAGGCCCTGTCTGAAGGGCTCACTCAAGAACTAGGACAAGAGACTACAAGGAGTTTGCTTCTGAGAAAGCGTTGGGCTGGTGTGTTGTGTCTCACCTCCCCTGTATGAGGGTCCTCTTGTCCATCTTCCTTCAAGCCTCACAGAGGGGGCTTGCATGGGAGTACAGACTGAAGCCAGCAGAGAGCAAGGACTGACTAAAGGGCTGTATGTCTGCTGATGGGAAGTTGGGGACATCCCTGGTATTGTCCTCTCTTCTGCACAGCACAGGTTCCAGCACTGGCTTTGGAAGAAAAAAATACCCTGCCCAGAGGGAAAGTCAGGAAAGATTGGGAAGTGGGTGGCCAGGAGAGAAGGCCTGACAGGAGCCTTCAGACAATTTGGGGCCTAGTTGAGTTGGACAATATAGGAACTGCTCCCGGGCCCGTGGGAAGGCGGGGACCATAGTACTCCAGCCCAAAGAGTAGGGGAGCGTTCATTACCTTGACTTGGCCTGGAAATCTATAGGGCAGGGCCCACCACTTTCCAAAGAAATAAAAAAACAATTATTTTTAACAAATGGAGGCAGTGAAAACTTGCTTAGGTATTCTGTGTGAATATGGGAGCAGTAAATAGATCTCATGCCAAAATGGGATAAAGACCCCACCCTCACATAGCTTGGGTAAGGTTGGAGGGAAGCCAGTGAAGAAGGGTAGGGACCCAGAACAAGACCAAATGGGGCTTTGGGGAAGGCACTTTGTGAGGTAAAAGCATTGGAGCCACCTAGTCTAGTTTAAAAATAGTCCCATCTGTTCTGGTTTCTATGTGCATGTACTATTCCCAGGTTGCCTTAGTAACCAGGGCTCCTAGGGTCATTTAGCGGGGCAGGTACTAAGGAGGGTGGAGGTTCTGGGAAATGGGAATGGGATATGTATTGACAGATCCTTCTCCTATTCAAACAGAGCAGGGCAGGTGGTGATTGTTCTCTGAGTTGTTGATGGGGGTTAATGTCCCTCCTACCCCATCCGTTCCTCAGTAACCAATGCCTTAAGCCTTCAAGGCTTGGGAGGTGCTGGGAAAAGGAGAGTTCTTCTGGGAACACAAGCCTCAGAGTTCATCCCTTTCTTCCCTCTGCCTCCACATAGGACCACAGAAGTTTTAAATCCGGTTAAGAGTCACTAAGGCCTAGGGCCCCAATAGCCAAACCTCAGTTCCCCCTCAGCTCATGGCTGATGTAGGGGAAACAACTCAGGTGTCTAGTCTAATGGGACAGTGGATTTGGGGGTAGAGAAAGTGATCCTGGGTTATTCTCCCCCCATCATGTCTCCTGCTACCTCTTGCTCTCGTCCGGTTGATCACTCAGGTTACACCTGGGGTTGGAGATAGGCTGGGTAGGTCAAGGCTGGTCATTAAAAAAAAAAGAATGGGCCTAAAGACTAAAAATGGGCAAATACTGAAGTATTGTTTGTGGATTTTAGAAACCACACATTGATAAGCTTAATGTTGGTTTTCTGGCACAATTTTGCATTATTAAAGAGATGGTTTATGAGCATTTAGAGACAAATGTGATCATAGATACCAACATGAACTCATCCCAGCCAAATGCTGACTGACTTTATTTTCTCTTTGCCAAGTATCTCTGAAGAGGTAGATCTGGGAAACTGCAGACATTGTATGTCCTTTATTAACGTACTCCAGCTAAAGACCACCAGGAATAGACCTGTAGTTGAACAAGTTGTGTTTATTGCTCCTTGCAGTGGTGGAGAGAGCATGCCGTGGGGAACCGTGGTATTTCAGCAAGAGGCTGTTAGAAAGAACTTGTAGGACTTGAACTTGTAGGACTTGGGCTTTGGTTAAGTGATTTGGGGGAAGGTTCAAGGAAGTGGGGCTTCACTCTGGATTGGGTGCTGTCAGGGAAGCAGGGATAATTCTGTGATTGGGTGTCTTTATCTTATCTAGAAAAAGGGCCGACTAAAGTGAAGCTGAAGCTGCAATTGCTAATGAAGCGGAAATCACTCGTTAGCTGGCAGAGGGGAATGTTTGCTGTTTTTTGGTTTGCATACTGACCTTGTTTTGTGCTTAAACAAAATCGTGCAGTGGTCTTGGTTTTTTGCCTCACTTCATCACAGTCACTGAGTGCCCTTCTCTGATGGTGGTGTTGTGTGAAATTGTTTGAGTCCAACAAGAGAGCACCATTTCTTAGCTGTGATCGCAGGTCAGCCCCCAACAACTCTGAAGCCTGGATGTTCCCAGATCAGGAGTTGCTTTCCTCTCTCTCACCTGCTAAGTCATTGCAGATAAGAGAATAATTACGGGTCAGTTAATAGTAGAGTTTGGTGGAATCAAAACTGAACATTTGTGCCTAGTAACTATTAATTAGTGCATTCATTTTAGAGAAGTCTCTTGTGATATACATAAGGGCTATGTTTTATTTAAAAAAAAAAAAAACTTATAAGAAAAGCCCTGTTATCAACAGTAACAGAGAAGCACTAGGTGATACTGAAAGTGTCTGTAACTTGGGTCAACTAAATTAATCCAAGGGGTCAATTTGGATCAATTTTGATTGACCCTCCCTCTAAAAAATTGCTTGAGCCTGGCTGAGGAACAAATGCAGAGATCTGCATTAGCAGTAATTCACATGAGAACAACACGGGACTTCCAGTTGGCTACCAAAAATTAAAATCTTAGTCCTCATAATATGTCAGTTCATAAAAATTAAGAGCCTTCTATGTTCTAGGCACCTTTCTAGGAGCTCCGTTAAGGTAACCAAACCATAGTCATGCATTGTAAATATAGCAGTTCTACCGTGTCTGTCTGCGTGGAACCATTCCTAAAGTATTCTGTGTTCTTCTCAATGTAATTTTTAAAGAGGGCCATTGACAAACCAGTGGAATAGGTGAGCAAAATTGACAAGCGAAGACTGAGGGGAGACCCAATAGATGTCTTCAGATATTTGAATGGCTGCCCAATAGAGAAAAGGTCCTGTCTTGCTGCCTGGGAAATACACAGGGAGTTGTAGAATAACAGCTAACATTTATTGAGTACTCAGTACAAGACAGGGCACTGTGCTGGGCACTTTACATGCAATATCTCATTGACACGATGGGTACTATTTTTGTACCTGTTTTGCAGAGGAGAAAGCAGGCTTAAAGAGAGTAATCAGCCCAGGGTTCCACAACTAGTAAGGAATGGAGCCAGGAATCTATTCGAGCAGTCTGACTCCAGACTTGGCATAAGAAAGTTCTAAGGGGGCCGGCCCTGTGGCTTGGTGGTTAAGTGCGCGCACTGCGATGCTGGTGGCCTGGGTTCAGATCCCGGGTGCGCATCGAGGCACCACTTCTCCGTTCATCCTGAGGCCGAGTCCCACATACAGCAACTAGAAGGATGTGCAGCTACGACATACAACTATCCACTGGGGCTTTGGGGGGAAAAAATAAAATAAATAAAATCTTTAAAAAAAAAAAAGAAAGTTCTAAGGATAGAGCCATCCAACAATGGGACCACTGCTTTGCAGTAACTTGCAAGGAATAATACAGAGGAAATTTCCTCAAATCCTGTTGCCCCTTCCATCTTGGAGAGTGAGCTGGGACCAGATTACCACGTCCAACCCTCTGCCTCCCCTAGGAGGCAATTGTAGTTTACATATAAGTGCAGATTGCAAATCCAGGAAGTCTTGGTACTCTCCTCCCTTAGACACTTCCTCTAACAAATGGCTATCCTTTTTCCTGTTACCCACTTACTGCTTATCACCACCAGGTGGCACCTGGGCAGCAGAATTGTCAATGGGCGGGGACCCATCCTGTTTACTTGTTCTGGTGCCTGCATTGCAGTTGCTAATCCTGTGGCTCCTGGGTCCCAGCTGGGAAGAGACCTTCCTGAGGATGAGCTTTCATCCTCCATATACCATCTTCAGCAGGAGGGTCTGATGAGCGAGATGGGGTGAGAAAGGGGAGGAGTTTGGAAAGGAACCTCTATAGGTCACCCTCTCCATCCCCCAGTCTAAGGGACCCCCCTCCCCCTACTCCAGTGCTTTGCAAATTTCAGTTTATAGAGAGGTTTCCCTTTAAAGAATTTCATCCATTTTCCTCCTATAGTTCTGCTTCATCAGTTGGTGAGCAGATCACTTTTATCTCCTCCAAACTCCTTGAGCTCCTTTTCTGCCTGCTCACCTCTGAGAATATGGAGGACATAGGAGGCAGGTAGAAAATTGTTCTTTATACAGTTCTGCAAACTGAATGAAGCAGCCTAGAGACTGTTAGCCTCAGGGAAGTAGAGAAAGGGAAGTGAGAAAATTTGAGAGGAAGGCTGGGCAGCGATAGGTTTTAAGCAGCTTTGATGAAACACAGCCTGATGAAATCCATGCCCTGCAGAGCCAGATAAAACTTATCAGCTGCCGACCTAGTCTCTCCCCAGCAGTAACCCTGGTTTGCCTGCTGTGTCAAACAGAATAACACAAGTCCCACATATACTGCATTAAAAGGTGATCATCTTATGACCAACCCTTCCCTCCTGGGCTTCCAGTTAGTCTAGTTTCTAAGTCTCTGGACAACACTCCACCTCTAAATCCAGTTAACTAGTAACATTGGTCATCATCAATGTACCCTGCACTCTCCCCTTCCTAAACCTGCACAGTTCATGTAGAACTGCATTAATTCTACATCTGACTGTATTCCAAACCTTCCTTCTAACTCAGGCAAATGAAACACAGAATCGTCTCATTACTCTTGATTTCTCAACTGCTAGTGTCCTAGCAGTTCCTCAGGGTCAGGAAATTCTTGGAAAGTGTAATCATTTTTGCTGCAGCTGACTGCCCACCCACCCACTCCTCTTTTTGGAGTCGATCTAGTTTGGAGTCGGTCTGCGCTCTATGATAGAGATAGAATTGGAGATAGAATGGACTAACTCTTGGAGATTTCTAAAAAGAAAGCAAGCCTCACTTCCTCTTCACTCCGCTTTTTTTTCTCTTCCCTGAAGGCTGGATTGTCTCATCTCTGTAATTCTCGGATTTTCCAGTTTTCTCTAGTGTCTGTCGTTACACTGCACAGACAACATAGAGGACTGGAGACACGATAGACAGCGTCGTCATCCAACACTTTCATTCCCAATAGGGTAATTTCCTTTCTTTTTGTAAGGACAGCCAGGAAAAAATTGAAGGATAAAGAATGTGCTTAGAGTGTAAAAACTAGGGAAAACTGACACATGAACATGTAGGAATCCCAGACCAAATCCTGCCAAACCGTCCGAATGGAGTGGAAGGAAATCCTGACCCTTCACAACTCAACTTCGCGACTCCAACTCCCTCAAAAACCGAGTAATTGGCGGTGCGGCTCCGCATGACGTCATACCACAGCCACTCCAATCCCACGTGGGGGACCCGCTGCGCCCGGCTCTCTTCTTTAAATGGTACACCACGCCTCCTTCTCTTTCTGGCCAATCAAATGCCGCTCTTTAGCCTCTTTCCTCCTTTTCCCGCCGTCCCAGATCTCCCATCTGGGCACTCTGGTCCAATCAAGGAGGTCCTGCCTCTTCGGAGCCCTGTCCCCTCCCCGCGGGAGAGGGGCAGGGTTTCGATCTTTTGACTCCACCTTAGTCTGTGCGGCGCGGACCAACCCGAGCCGCCAGAAAGAGGGGGCGTGGCTTGAAGTCCCCTCCCCCATCCTGGGGTTTACGGTTTGCCGCCGGGAGCTAGTTGCAAGACGCGGCAACCTCCAGTCGGTGTGTGGGTCGGGCGGGTCCTCCCAGAGGGGGCACCATGGAGCGCTCCCCTGGAGACGGCTCCAGCCCCAGCCCTAGCCCCGTGGACCAGCCCTCTGCTCCCTCCGACCCCCCTGACCAGCCCCCCACTGCTCACACGAAGCCGGACCCGAGTTCTGGGAACCAACCTGCCGGCCCCAGCGCGGCGAGTGAGGTCCTGGCGGTGCTGACTTCGTTCGGGCGGCGGTTGCTGGTGCTGGTGCCGGTATACCTGGCCGGGGCAATAGGACTCAGCGTGGGTTTCGTGCTCTTCGGCCTCGCCCTCTACCTGGGCTGGCGCCGGGTCCGCGACGAGAAAGAACGGAGCCTTCGAGTAGCGCGGCAGCTGCTGGACGACGAGGAGCGGATCACGGCGAAGACACTTTACATGAGCCATCGAGAGCTGCCTGCCTGGGTGAGCGACCATCCTCGATCCTCAGTGCAGCAGAGCCCCCTTCTAGCCCCTCAGTTCTAGGGCTCTCCCTCCCTACCCTAAAGTCAGTGCCCCACCCTTGGGACAGTGGGCCGCAGACTTTCCCCTCTCGCCCCGCTAGCCACCGGCCTCTGGGACGCGGCACTCTTGGGACCGCTCTCCAGTCTCCTTCCCCCGCCCCCCGGCACGCCCAGATCCCGTTCCTTGCACAGAATCAGTCCTCCTTCCTCTGCGCTTGGCAAGAGCAGTAATGTTCGGGAGCCCGTCTCCCTCCCAGCCAAGCCGCTGAGCGCCTCTCCTCGCCCTGGGGCCACTCGCGCCGCGGCCGCTCCTGGGCATCCCCGCACCCGCTGCCGCTCAGACGGTTCCCTCATCTCTCCTGTCCGTTCA